CCGCCCGGAAAAACGAGCTCCAGGCATTCGAGAGGAGGTAGAGGAAGTTAGGAACCTAAATTTGGATGTGTATCGTGCCGCACGATCGCCACGTTGGTTTTCTAAATCCTCTCGCGCTCTCGCATGCGTCTATCGCGTGCTTCATCCATTTCTGATGTCTCCCGCAAAGAGAATAAATCGAAACTTTTTAACGTCGCAAAATGAAGCTAAATAAAAAAAAAAAAAGAAATAAAATAAAATAAGAAAAATATTTCGGTAAATACTAATTTCATGTAATCTATTCTTTCAATGTGAGCTCGCTGTGAGAAATTCTGTCATTACATTCTCTAAATTCTGAATCAATTATTCAAATGTTTTATTTTGAATTAATTTCTAGACTTTAATGTAGTAGAATAGTTACATGCTTTTAATTATTTTATTTCAATGTTTATCTAGAATATTTTATTATTTGAAGCATATAATGAAAAACAGTACATATTGTTTATTTATTTTTGCTTGTAAATTACGGTTTATGCACTTTTACGTACAAATCGTTGTTTACACCCGAGTTTACGTCTGTTACCACTGCGATATGTTTACGACGATGTCTCGTGAAATTGCGGTTGCAAGTTGCAACTGCGTTCTCTTTCCCATGTTTTCGAAGGAGAAAAGAAGAACGAAAGAAATGGAAGAGCAGTGCGATACGATGAGGAATTGAGATGAGACGCATAACGTTACGCGGTCAACAGACCGAAGACGGATTAAAGTGCACGAGGGAAAATTAAGGGAAGTGTTTAATGAAGGAAATTGTTCGTAGTGCGCCTTCTCGCGTCGACCGATGGATTTTTTAATGAAAAATTGTGACCAGAGCTTTTTAGTTTATTTCTCTCTTCTGCTGTTATTTTTGTAAATCTAATTAAGTATAATTAAGTATAATTATTTTATTAATCAAACACAACATATAACATATATACAATATAATTAATCAAATTTAATCTAATCTAACTGAAATTTTTTTATTGTTGGACAAGAAATTCGTAATTTCTTTAATTATATGCAATACATTTTTAGTATTCGATATATTTTCATAGCAAATCTTTTGAAACATTTATTGATTAACGCATATGCTGTTTTAATTAATGTTTTTTTTTTTTTTTACATATTTTCTTGATTAGTGATCCGTGATACTGAAACTGCAAAATATTTAACATTTTTGAGAAAATATAAAAATGACAAAGAATGATAAAGAACGATGTAAAAATTATGCTTTTCATACAACTTTTATTCATTTTTTATCTTACATTGTACAATTATTTTACGCGCGCTTGATATTACATAAATTAATAGTGATTAATTTCCTATTAATGAAGAGCAGCAACTTGCTATTTCCCAGTCTCCCTCTTATCTCTTGTGTCTAATAGGAACATATCTTTTAAATAGCTATTATTATTCTGGGCGTGGTCTCGCCAGTATCTCGTTCATGTTTTGATGTTCTTGATGATGTCATCTTTCTCTGTCCCTCTCTTTCTCTCTCTTAAAAAAATAATCTTATAAAAAAGAGAGAAAAAGCAACATAGTTGAAATCTTATAAATTCTAATTTTGTTTGATATTCATTAGAAGCAAAAAATTTCTCTAATTATAAT